GTCACTGCTGGGCTCCGCCCCCTCCGCGCGTCGCCGCTGCCGGTGCTGGGCCCGGGGCCGCGGCTCTGGGGCCTTCGCAGCCCGGGAGCCGCTGGGCAGAGCCGCTGCCTCGAGGCCCGTGGCCTGCTTTGGATTGTGGAAACAGTGAGAAAACCAACGGCAGCCCCTAGGCCTGAGCGAGTGATGCCTCGGCCCCCCGCCCGCCCTTCGGCTGGCTTGGGGGTGGTGCCCGGGGCACCCCGCGCCTTCCCTTGCTGCCTCACCCGGAGCTGGGCTGGGTGCCAGGGGCCTGCCAAGCCTCTCCGGGAGATAACGGGCCTCCCTCAGCAAGGGTCACGCCACGCTGGGCTGAGTCCGAGGAGTGCAGGTGCCGATAGGGCGTTAAAACTGGCACTGAGGAATGTACGTCAGGCTTCTGGTCCCCTTGGCTGAGTCACTGGGGAGGGTTTTTTTAATTTTGTACTTTGCCCTGTCTGAGATCACTGAGCTTAGTTCTGTTTGGGAGAGGGTTTAAGCTGGAAGTCGAGCATCAGTGTTTACAGTGGCGTGTCTGCCTGAGGGGAAAAATATGGGCAAGTTCTTAGCCTTTGGTGTATTTTCCCTGACTGTTAATGCTGACAGGATTTGGTAACAAGCGTCAAAAGAGCCCGTTGTGTTCGTCTGACCATACCAAATTGGTGGAAGGAGTTCTGGGTCCTTCTTACCCTGGGTATGAGTCCTAAGGGTTTGTCCTGCAGGAAACAGATCAAAGCTTCTTAGTTACATTGCGTTTATAAACCACACAGAGACACTGCATCAGTTAGCTAATTTTCTAAATTGCTGTCTCAGCTATTATCTTTTTCTTGTCTAGAGAAAGTTCACCAGGCGTTCTAGTTCTGTCTGAATTAGCCACGTGATCACAGCATAAAATGTTGCTGAATGTAGATCTTTGTGCATCGGGATTTTTCTGAAGTCGGTTTAGGAGTTTCTGAAATAGGGGTGCGGATACTTAACTTACAGCTTATTAGACCCAAGTAAAAGCTGGGAAAGCAATTTGATATTGCATGTGAGGAAAGTGCAAGTTACCACCACAAATGCAAACCTTTCCCAGATGGCGTGAAAACTATTCCTGTGCCATGTACTCTAGGTTTACAGGAGGAATGTCCTAAACCAAGTGAATTTTTCTGCACATGGGTTTGTCTGATCCATATTTCTGTCACCAGTAGGTGGCTTTCTACCCATTTGTATGTGTTGTTACTATCTCAAACCCCAGCATGCAAGCACAGCACTCACTTTGAAATGGCCTCAAAGTATAAAGTCTGAGGAATAATTACAGTACTTTAATCTCCTGGACTACTGGAACAGAGGGTTCAGTTTACCAAAAGTGCTATGACTACTGAGAAGATGGTAATGTTCACATTATGCATTCATAAATTGTCCTCAACAGCCAAATAATCCTAACAAATGATGTCTGTGCATGGGGATATACTGAACATGGTTTCCAGCATATAGTCCTGCTCGTGTGCCCAAAATGCTCATGTGGAGCATGTGGGTGGCACTAGAGCCAGCTCTAGTGGCTCCTATTTTAAAACAACAACTAAAGAAAGCCTGTGCCTTACCAAAAGGCTCAGAACCCATAAGGCAATGGGTAACTTGTAGCCACAATGCGGTAATAAAAGTTGGTAAACTTCTGGATGAAGGCTAGGTTGGAATTAAAGAAAGAATCGGGAGGGTGTAGGTCTGTGGTTTGGTTCTCAATTAAAAGCCTGCAGCACTCTGAACAGGGCTGTCTGCCTGCAGCTTCCTGGCCTGGGGATTACTGACGTCTACACTGTAACTGTTTCTGTAGCCATGCTATAAACAACAGACCCATCTTACAAGTAGCATAGAAAACGCTACATGTCCTGTACATGTCCAGAGAGTCTTGATTCTCTGGCCCTGGGTTGGATTCATCGTGCACAATAAGTTTTCTTGTGGGACGTGGTTGTAGAGCTGTAGCTAAATCAACCTGAGAATCACACGAAGAATCTCCACAGGACCTTCCCCGACCTTTCTCTGATGGGACTTGGGTCTAGGCTGGATGCGAGCAACGTAAACAAAGAATGGTTTTGCCTAAGTTTCAACGTCCTACTCTTATCAGTCCATGTTCTTCTTTATTTGCCATTTAGCAGCTATAAGGCTCAACAGCACCTGAAGTGCTGTGTGGATGGTATCCTGGAGCATTATGGTATTGATGTCTGTGTTCATGAGCATTTCTGAGTTCCGTCCATGTCAGTTGTGGTAAGTTTGGGCTCCTGACACGTCACAGATAAGAAGCTGTTCCTAGCTGACGCCTCTTGGGCTTTTTATCTCTCTGAGTTTTTATTCCTGTCCCCCACACCTTCTTTTCGATTGGTTTGAAGTTTACTGGAACATCTTTATAGAAAAAAATATTAATGTGTTTGTGCTTAATGTAGTCTAGTGCACAATGCCTGCTCATTACCGCAACTTCCACAACAGCGTGCCATGGCTAATCCTTTTTCTGGAAGTTGTTTTCTTCGTCATCTTTTACTTCTCAGATTATGATAGAGATGTGTCAAGTATATCCTACCCAGGTAAGCCTTGCTGTGAAAGGAAGGGTTAACGCTTGCTCTTATTTTGCAGTGCAATAGTGATGGGATTCAGTAGGTTTATGTATTTGTTAGTGAGAAGTAGAATGTTTTTACTGCCTTTTAAGTACCCTACCTTGCCATGGATGGTGTGTATGTATTTATATGAAAGCAATTACAGTGAACAGAAACAAAAACTTCTGTGAGGTCTTGGCATGAGAAGGCATTGCTGTGCTACAAAGTAAGAATTCAGGATGTTAGTATTTTCCATCTGAATGCTTGATGTAAATAAACGAAGTTAATACAGTGGAATTAAGGGTTTAAATCCATTCTGGAGAATGTATTTTGTTCATTGATCAAAGGAATGTATTAGGAGATGATGCTACGGCCATAGCGTGTCATGTATTTACAGTGTTGTGCAAATATGAGCTGATTAATCCTCGTGACATTCTTGTGTTACCCTCCCTGTTTTACAGCTTGAAAAATGAGAACAGTTTGGTATTTTACTGTAGGTACAGGCCAGCACAACCATATGACAATGTGACTGGTGGCATGTCTCAGGGGATATTTCCAGGGCTACAGATCCAAGAGCTTATATTTTGGACAGCCTCCACCTTTTATGCAATGGTGCTGGTTTCCATATTAAACTCTTTCTACTGCTATTTCTGTTCCTTCTGCCCAGATGAGGACATACAGGTTTCTCTTTCTAACTCATTTCTTTCCTAATGCCCTCAAGGGATGAATCAGCACTAATTCACAGTAACTCTCCCTGAAAAGTCCAACTTAAGCTCTTTAAATTCACCTCAGGAAAAATGAACATCCAAATTTCACTGCTGTCTTGCTTTTTGATCCCTCAGCCCCTACCCTATGACATCCATTCTGATTGTTTTGTAAAAATAAATTCGGGGTCAAAGGTATTGTTCTTCTGATTACTTAGGGATTAGAAAGCAAGCTCTGGAGTTCTTTATGAGTACTAAATAATAATGGCACCCAAATTTTTATCTGAAGGTTTCTTAGTTAGTTGTGATTTTTTAATTTATTTTTTTTAAACAGAAATCCAGTCTGCATTAATAACTTAACTGATGTCTTGGTCTTTTCTGTCATGCAGATTTTCAAGATGTCAACCACATGGTGATTTTCGGATTTGGCTTTTTCCTGACATTTCTGAAAAGATACAGGTTTAGCAGCACTGGGTTCAACCTCCTGATCATTGTACTGGGTGTCCAATGCTCCGTGGTGATAGAAGAGTTATTACTTTTCCTTCCTGACTGGGAAAGAGAAGATGATATGAGAAGGTAATTAGTTTGTGTTAGAATTGGAATAATCTGCAACTGCTGATTGCTCTTTGTTGAGGCTAATGCCTTGTTATATGGACCTCTTTGTGAATTAGCACAGTCATATTTGCAGACATTTTAGAAGGCTTTGGGTTTTTAAGTACATTTTACTGTCTGTTCACTCTTTCTTTCTTGGCCGTGATGGTATCCCAGTACAAAATTATTTTTTTCGTTCTTTTGTTGCAGAATAGTAAAGGCTAGTCTGAGTTTGACTGCCGTGATCATCTCCATTGGAGCTGTTCTTGGAAAGACCAATCCTGTGCAGTTAAGTCTGATGACAGTTGTGGAGATGGTAGCTTTCCACATGACCAGGTGGATGCACACCAGATTCCTACAGGTACTGCAGGACGATTTCCAGGCACATGGGGGAAAGTTTCACTGGGACTTTGGAATGTTGCCTTTTGGTAGTTTAGCAGTGCTCTGCTGACAGGACCATCAGTGTGTTTTATCTCATCTCAGATTGTGACTATGGTTTCTTTAAGAGATGAAATCTGACTTTGGGACTAAAGGACATTAAACTCCAAACCCTACATAATCTGTATCTATATAATTGGCTGTATCTATATTCATGGCCTTAAAGCGTGACCTGATTTGATGGATTGGCATGTAGTGAATTTGGCCTTGCCCATGCCCTGACTGTCCCCAACACACGAAGGAAGGCCTTGACCTATGCTAAGGCACTAATTCTTTTAAACTTTACCTCCTCCCAGTGTCAGTTCAGTCTGGAAGATTCCCAGTGTGAATGATATACCGGCCCAGTTTGGACAGCAGTCAGACTTGCATTTAACGTACAGTGTGAACTTACCCCAAACTCTCTGTAATATGAATTGTGTGTTTATGAGCTGCATTGAATTCAGATAAATTAATCTCACATAAATAACTCATGCATAAACTGGGGAACTGTGAAAATAAATTGCTTATAGGGAGGGTACATGAGCAGCTCTACCAAGAACAGCATCAAAGCATCAAAGGCTTCCTGTGGCCTGAAATAAACCACAAATTTGATTATTCTATTGATACAGATTTCAGACAATATCAGCATGATGCATGTTCACCTGTTTGGAGCCTACTTTGGTCTGGCAGCCGCCTCACGTTTCTCTGAGCCACTGCCAGGGTCTGAGAAGAATGCAAGTACCCCGAAGTCGGATTTATTGTCAATGCTGGGTAAGGCATTTGCTTTAACATCTCAGGTGGAAGAAGAAGTTGCAGTGAGAACATAAGGAATTTTTCTGGGGACTGGCCACACCACACCAAAGCTTTCGCATCCAAAATGCAGGTCTGAATGCAGCTAGGCATAGAAACTGCTGCTGCTGTGGTTCATGGTTTCTGACAAAGAGTTGGTGAGTCTCAGCATGTTTCCTACCAGGCCTATAAGCCACTCCTGCTACGGCTGTGGCTTGCTTTGCTTTTGTCAGTCTCAGCATAAAGGCTGTGCCAGGTTAACTGTTCCCTCTCCCAGCTAAGTTGTCCCCTTTGGGCTTGTATAGGCATATTGGTAGGGGACCTCTGCACCAAAGTTGAGGTCATGACTTGTATTTCAGTAGCACTTACAGTTCCCAGCCGGGGCTGAGGCTCAGTTTTGTTTTGCAAGGTGCTGTACAGAGATATAAAAAGGCAGTCCCTGCCTAGTAGTGTAAATGAAAAGATAAACGCCTGGGGAAGGGTGGGGAATATGATACAGACAGGCACACGAGAAAGGATCTGAGTGACGATAGGATGAATATACGGAGTTGCACTCTTTTTCTTAAAGAAGCAATTTGGTTTCTTTATTATCATGATTTCTGTTATGTAACTGCCATTGTGCTTTATAGTGACAAAGCCTGTGTCTCTTCTTGCTTGCCTTGAACAAGAACAGTTCAAATCTTACTGTCAGGTGAATTGCACAAGGGTCTGGTACCTCTGTGGCATGGAGAACAGAACTTTAGCTAGTGAAGTTAACTGGACGGCAAAAAATAATGACTGGACAAGGCAAAAGAAACTGCTGCTTGTTTGAGTTGTCATCTGTGCGCTTAGAGCTGTGTGCAGCTCGGGGCAGAGGCGGGTTGCCATGTGTGGTCCAACTTGACTTCGTGTGAGGCCACCTACTTCCCTCTGCTGGTTGGAATTTGCCTGCGTGTGTATCCCTGTGCACACACCAAAAGATGTGACCTACCGAGCAGCAAACTTCATAGAGCCTGAGATTCCTAAATGCTGACAATTAGGGCCCAGGTCACAGAAGCAGAAGAACCTGTTTTCATTCCTATTAGCAAAGCCTGTGCGGTCATGAAAGTGTGGCACTGTGGAGTGATCTCACAGGAGGAAGGTGAATTGTTCTTTTGGGCCCCATACTAGGGAGTAGCTATTTGGTAGATAACCCTTTCACAAATAACATGAAAGTTAAGCTGTGAATTAGCTGAGTTGGTGAAGGATGATCACCTCAGCTCAATCTATTGGTCTTTAGCCCTCCTCTGGAGTAATCCTAATGTAGAGATAGAGAGGATTCTGTTCTTATGATCCAGTTCATCCTCCTTTTCTCTTCAAACCCTGCCAGGAGGCAAGACAACCAGTACCAGTCACACTGGCAGCCAAGGTAAAAAACATTCCAAAGTCCACTTTGGGTTTCTTTATAGCTATTTGTACCATCCCACTTGGCTTTCTTTCATTCTCTTGCAGCTGGTTTTGAACAGTTATTCCACAGTCCCATGTAAAGGAGCAGAAATTTTGGCCAAGGAGCAAGCCCCCGGTGCCTGTTCAGAACAGGCAGGACGCTTATTGTTCGGAAATCAACAGTGGAATTGTTCCCACTTGTATCTGCACCTGTGTTTAAGGGGATGACAGATAGGACAAAGCTGATGTTAAAGGTGTTCTTGAAAAGAGAATCCTACCTTAACTCTGTTAAGGACCAGCCCGATGCCAATAGGGCTGTGCTGTGGCTGTATGGTTCTGGGGAGGTGTTGGTATAGCAGGTAACTCTCAGGGCTGTCTGTGTTGTGAATTGTTATCCTTTGTTTATAATGTAGGAATCACAGTGAATGCAAAATGTGGGCTGGAGCCCTCCAGAGACAGCTGGTGATGGATTCACTGTGTTTAAGAGAAGGTAATGATAGTTGCTTGTCTTTGTCTCCAAGGTACTGTCTTTCTCTGGGTGTTCTGGCCAAGCTTCAATTCTGTAATAGGTGAGAACAAGATCAAAGCAATCTCCAACACCTACTTTGCCCTTGCAGTGAGCACTGTAACTGCCTTCATGTTGTCTGCTCTGATCACAAAGGATGGAAAATTCAAAATGGTAAGACATGAGAGAAAATCACTGCATGGAGAAGATAATTGTTCTGTTATTCTGTTCTTCAGTAATACACTGACAGTATAATAGCTATTAAGTAAAAACAAGTCCAGGTTTTCAGCCTGACAGTCATCATTTGCCTTCCAAGCAGAACACGAAGCTCTAACTTACAAATGATGTTCTCAGACTGTAATTTACAGTACATAGAGGCCCAAATTCACCCTAAAGAGATCGCATTTGCATGAGAATAGCAATCTATGATATTGGGCTTCTATAAATGATGATTGAATTCTCACTCCATATTTTTGTTGTTTCATTTTACAGACTCATATCCACAGTGCAGTACTAGCTGGTGGGGTCGCTGTTGGTTATGCAGCACACAGTATCAAGTATCCTTGGATTGCAATGATTTTGGGTCTCCTTGCCAGTGTGATAACCATATTAGGATCTTACTGTTTGCCGGTAATACGCAAAACCTGAAATTTTTTTTTGTATACCTTTATAAACTTCTTTTCCAGTGTAGGATACCTCAAGGGAAACCTCTCTCTTTCAGAGAGATTAAAGCTACGAAACCTGAAGTCTTTTGAGCAGAGCACAAAATTGCAACTTGCAAGACCAAAGTTAATTTTCTAGGTCTGCAGTAGACAAGATGCTGTTATCAACTTGTGTTTCAGTGTATCGCTTAAACCTTCTCTTCTTCCCAGAGATGCTTGAATCCTGTTCTCAAGATTCATGATACTTCTGGAGTTCATTTCACATTTGGCTTGCCTAGTATGCTTGGAGCTCTTGCCCACGTTGTTCTCTTAGTAATAGAAAACTGGACTAATATACCAAGGTACATAAATTCTTGCTTTTAAGTAATAAGTTTAGCTAATCGTTATTATAGTGTGCCCTGAGAGGTCTCAAACATACAGAAAGTCTGAATGTCACCATGAATAAATCGTTTTATACCAGATAACCCAAGATAATCTCTGAAGTCCAAAAAAGTCAGTAAAAAAGACTTTCACAATTGAGCAGACTTTAGATCAAAACTTTTAGCTTTTGGTCCTGTTTCCTACCTCCCTTTTAATTTGATATTAAATACAGCAGACACAGGAAATGAAGGCTGGGGATGTGCATCCTTTCAAGACTCATTTTGGCTTTTATGATGTATTTTGGGGAGCTTTGTATGCTAAGGGGGGGGTGAGGGCTAGAAATCAGCATTTCTCTTCAAGTGAGGCTTTAACTCTGAGTCAGGGGCAAGAATGCCAGTTTGAACTAAAGCCAGTCTGGACACTGAGCTGGAAAATATACTTCAGCAGATATCCTGCAAAAGCTGAAGTTAAGGATGTTCTCCATGGGTTGTTTTGATCTGACACTGGCATCTCATTTTTGCAAATCAAGTTCGTGTCACATCATGCAAGTTCTCTGATTTTCTGTTTACACAGGAATGAATCACAGTGGTGCATAAGGGCCTTACACTTCTCATCATGTTCTTATTGAAACAAACAAATTTAATGAAGTTTTAAGGTTTCTAAGGGCAAAAGATGTCCTCTGAAATCTGTGTTAAGGCTTCTGATAGGATCTCTTAAAACATCTAACTGCAGCTGCAGAGACATTTGAGAATAACAGAATCTTTATGAGAGGTTTTGATGTAAAATGCTGTGTAGATACAGATCCATTCACAGTCTTACTGCTGAATTCAGCAGCTGTAAAAGGTGAAACACTTGTTTTGCTTTTCAGACTGTGTTATTTGGTCATGATTTACATTTGGGCCTTCTTCCTGACCATGGATGTTGCCTTGATAACAGGTTTTATTACAGGTCAGTATTGAAAAACATGTTCAGTAATATCTCCCTCATTTCCTTGGGGCAAGGGGTCTGTCACCTTATTATACCTGCTGCCATGTCAGTGCAACCCTTTGCAGAAAGAGGCCAGTTTAACTGGGGATCTGAAGTGTGTTTCTATGGGTACATTAATTGTGGAAGCAGCCACGGGAAACATGAATGCCAGGGACTCTTCGAAACCAGTTTTTTGAAGAAGAGAAGTCTTCAACATAAATCACATAGTAGCACCATTCTTTCAATTGGTGAACTTTAACAGAAGCTTAACAGCTGCCTTCAAATTTCAGACAGGAGATCTGTGAGGATGAAAATATTTTTACATCTGGGCATTGTCTTAGTGACAGAAAAATGCTATCTAGAGCTTGTCACTTTTTAGGCCAGTTGGTATAAATCTGCAAAGTCTCACGAACGTCAGTAGCTCGCTTGCCTCAGCCAAGCCCTGGGCCTTTGATCACTAGTGCTTTGGGATCATCAGGGCTCATGTGTTTCCCATGTGACATTCTCCTTTATGGCAGCTGCTGTTTTTCTATAGCTGTTAATTCTGTCTTGAATAAAAGAGAAATGGCAGATGAAAATTGCTGTGAAATATACTCTAAAGATATATTTTTTGTGTGCTTTAATTGATCTGAAACCTTTGCATTACCTTAAGTGTAATTAAGAAGTTGAGCTAATCAAGCAGATTTTTAAAAAAACATTGAGCTAAAATACTCAAACATTCAGTGTTTAACCAATTGTTTAAAAATCTAGGTGTTTCCATCTGAAATCCCAAGCTAACAATGCTGATAAGGCCAATTGCTTTAAATACACAGCCATTTTTCATGCAAGAAGTGAATCAGTTCTGATGTATTTTTAGAATCTGGACGGCTGTTTAATGGGGTTTTGTATAGAGTAATTAATTTTTAATAACACAAGCCCTGATCCTGGCAAGCTTCTCTCTTTGTATTTAAGGTCAACTTGAGTCATGGGACTCTGCCGAAGGGTTTAGTTCTGAGTTTGTATTTTGATCTATGTCACATTTGGACACGTTTTACTTCCAGTTACACACAATCTTCCTCTTTCCCTGATGTGTATATTTACATTGGATATATGTGTTTTTACAAATAGGTTTCATCTTAAACCTCAAACTGTTTAAGACCATCCCTGTATCAAAGTACTTTGAAGACCAGTTTTATTGGGAGGTAAGTTTCAATGTGAAATTAATTGTGTGGGAGTATGTAGGGCACCTTGTTGTCCTTGATGAAGAACTCTAGGTATTTGAATTAAAAGTTAAAAAAAGGGATAATTCCATTTCCAAGTATGTTTTGGATGCCCTGTTTGAAACACATGAAGTGTTCCTACAGTTGATTCAGAGCCAGAACATGATAAATGTGTGTAGTCTTCAGCTGGGCTTGTCAGAGCCACCGGTGAGCACAGGGCTAAATCTGAAATGATCTTGTTTGTTGTTAAGATGTAATCTTAGGTTCTCAGCGATGGAAGGTGCTTTTTATGAAAAGAGACCAAGCCTCCTGACCTTCATAGGTGCAGAGTGGCTGTTGAGTCTGATGCAGAAACACAGACCTTGGCACCTTTAGGTGCTGAATGTGATGCTGTATCTGAATTACAGAAAAAAAGAAATGGATGAAAATAAGCTTCTAATAAGGTTTTCCATTGCCTTTTCTTGTATGATGATTTGATGCATAAAATGTTCTGATACAACAATGTTTGTCTTCACAGTTTCCCCATTTGGCTGTTGGATATTGAATGGAGGAACCCAGATGACACATTTGACCAAGATAAGATTTTCCTGTTTGTCACTAAAGAAAATTAATAGCTACGATGGGTGGAAAGAGCACTTAACATATCAATTCTCAGGCTCACAAAAGCCATCCCAATGGACACAAAAAAATTAGTAATAAACTGTTCTAGTAATTCCTGAAAGATACAGGGTGTAAATTTAGAGATCCAAACTTACGATGCATTTAGCTTTTCTGCTTGATCCAATCTTAAATATTTTTTTGTAGGATATGTACAAAAATGTTGGCTGCATTCATTGCTGTAATGGCTTATTAATCAAAATGCTTGGAAACTTTAAACTATTTTTAGGCCCCAAGTTTAAAAGACAAAATATGTATTTTAAAGTATAATTTTTCAAGGAGTGCATACTCACTCTCATCTAGTGAAGCATTCAAGTCCTTGTTTTTAAGCAAAATTAATTCTGTTGAAGGCCTTGTTAAGCCAGGATTTGATGAGTGAGCTGGATCAAGGCCAGAACTCTGCATCTTCCCAGACTGAACTCTTGGAGTTACCTGACTGTTTAAAGAAAAATCAATAATTACTTGGCTCAGGCTATCTGGAAGTTAAAATGGCAAGAAGTTAAATTGTTCTGTTTGTGGATGGTGCCCCTAAAATCAGTGGCATTCGCTTCTACTCAAGATTTGGCAGCAAACCTCAGGACAGCCCGTCTGTGCAGCGACAGTCAGCACCACCACAGGGTCAGGAGGCTCTGGCTGCCCTGAAGGTGCAGACAAGTGGAGGGATGGAGGGAAAGAGTCCTCGATGCCAAGGCCAAGACCCCGTTTTTTGACTCTGAGACAAGCAGGGAGCTTTGGTGCACAAGTTAGGGCCTGGTCGGGCAGAGGATTTTGGGCAAGTAAACCCTTGTTTTTCAATGGATGGTGATTCTCAGTGTTTCTTCTTTATTTCAAACTAGTTGACCTAGAAAAACTCTTTCAAAAATGCTTACCTAATAAAAAAGTCAAAATTTGATCGTTTTTATTTATCCAGCACATTTGCTTAAAAATAAATGAGAAATTCAATACTGGGAGATGAGGCAGGAGTTGATGCTCACTGCAGTCATGCATGCTGACCTCAGTTCATTCATTAGGGATTAAGCAAAGTAGATCCCTGCAGATAAAGAAGTGTGAGGCGGGTTTCGAGTAATGAAAAATTACTGGCAGAGGAAGGGCCAGTTTTCCTTATTTCCAGGTCACAAATAGCCAGCGATCTGCCAAATTTATCAGTTGCCTCCAGCTTCCACCAGCTGGGGGCGATGTTCAGCCTGGACACACACGTGCCTTACCACCCAGTTAACACACTAATACTGGTGTAATAGTGTAATCCAGGCTCAACTTGGGCTTTTCACTTTAACTTTCCAGGAACCACCCAAACATCTACAATACAAAGGGTTGTTTTCTAGCAGGATTGCTTTTAAGAAATGGTATTTTATTCCTTCCCTTCTCCCCACATCTTTATTATCATTGATTTATTGTGCAAATAGTCTAGGTGAATGTGTAGGAAGGGGCAGATATGGGATCAAAATTTCCCTAGTAGTGACTTGTCTCCTTTGCCAAAGAGAAATCTGATCTGAAGAGTATTATTCTTTTTTTTTTTTTTCCCCCCACAGTGGTTAGAAACTAGTTGACAGCAAGCTTTGTAGATGAGCTGCTTCCATCTAAAGCCACTACATAATTTGTACTTGTGCCTCTACGCTGTCAGCCACAGCAACAGTAAGTTGTTACTCGCCAGAGACTTCCTTGTTACCACCACAGGATGAATTAAATATTCGGGGGGGGGGGGG